TTTCTATTACCCATTCAAGCCGTCTCCAGCCATTATTAGTCTCAAAGTGGGTTCCTCGTCACCTGATGATGACAAAACCTTGTCGAAACGTTGTACATTTGCTGTTATGTTAAACTTATATTAAAGTTTTTACTTTCTATTACCCATTCAAGCCGTCTCCAGCCATTATTAGTCTCAAAGTGGGTTCCTCGTCACCTGATGATGACAAAACCTTGTCGAAACGTTGTACATTTGTCTGTTATGTTAAACTTATATTAAAGTTTTTACTTTCTATTACCCATTCAAGCCGTCTCCAGCCATTATTAGTCAATAGCACCCATCGGCAACTCTTTGGCTGCTCTATTCAAATAGTTGGATTTGACCGTCACTCTTATGACGCATCCATTTAACCTAAGGTGTGGAGCGAGTTTTTGAGACAACGGAACACAAACCATAAACAATCAGATTCACAGTTCGGCTCGCAAAACACTAGGACACGATCGCTCCAGAAAAGCAAAAGCGCCCCCTCCGATGGCTCAAAGGTAAGCTTGACGGCTTTTAACGCTACAATTCAAAGTGAAATCTCTGAGATTGACACAGAATAGACAGCTCGTTGTGCAGCTTTGCACTCAAAGAAAAGCAAGCAAATAAAATAAAAGCTACAGGACTGAAGTGCTTGTAAGCGATTATATTTTACTGTGCTTATCAATTAAGGTGTACATTTTATCTTTTCCTCTTAGTTCTTCATCTATATTTCAACCCAAAAACGGTCGTGTTGCTCACTTTAAAATTTAAATTTATCAAATTTACGAATGACATTTGCTTGTATTTCAATATTAACTTATAATATTTTTAATATTTTTAAAATATATATATGTGTGTTCTCTATTATATGGTAATTACAATTTCACTGTTGATTATGCCACTACATCGTATATTGAGGTATATTGTTATACCAGGTAGTTTACGAACAGATTTACTGTAAATTTATAGTTTCATTGGTGATTATAGTGCAATATCATTTACAGAGGAATAATATGATATTAATCATAAACTTTAAGAAAAAAGAAACATCTTTGAAAATCACCGAACATGCTCACCCTATCAGCTTTGGGAGCATTATAATGTAACGGTTATTCCTATTTTTAGTTAGTACAAGAGTAGCCCAAAAGTTGACGTTGGGTGGTATTGGCTAGCTGCATTCCCTCTACTCTATCACTTCCAAATTTCCCGGCATGGCCAGGTAGTTAGGGCACTCACAATCTGTGGGCTGCGGGTTCAAACCCCCGTCACCGGACATTATCGCCTTTCAATTGTGGGGCGTTATAAAGTAACGGTCAATCCCACTATTCGTTGGTAAAAGAGTAGCCCAATAGTTTATGGTGGGTGGTATTGATTAGCTGCAATATACATAATAACTGTGAGTTACGTTAATACCAAAATTTTCCAACGTACATATAATTCAAATATCTAAATATGTGAGTAAAAATTGAGTAGTGCTTTTTGTTCCTGTTGTTTAGTCAAACACAATTTAGGTATTTGGATTTTATTTTAATCCATGCTCTATCGTGTAGGACCGGCAGTTAGGGCGTTCTACTCACAATCTGCGGGTCGCGGGTTCGAATCCCCGTCCCACCAAACATGCTCGCCCTTTCAGCCGTGGGGGCGTTATAATGTGACGGTCAATCCCACTATTCGTTGGTAAAAGAGTAGACCAAGAGTTGGCGGTGGGTGGTGATGACTAGCTGCCTTCCCTCTACTCTTACACTGCTAAATTAGGGACGGCTAGCGCAACTAGCCCTCGTGTAGCTTTGCGCGAAATCCATAACAAACAAACACTTCCAAATTATGAACAGCTAGTGAAGATAGCCCTTGAGCAGCTTTACGCAAAATTCAACAAACGATCAAATGTTTTACTGTGATTTAATTTTCTCTGTACGACAGTCACTATCATTCATAAAAGTGGATTTCTATTACAGTGTTGTTTTAATCACTTTCAGTTGTATTATACGTATAGCGCTGGGATTCATTTAAAATATCATTAAGTTAGCCGCTTTTCATTTCAGAGATGGTTCTTTTTTCTATATAGATAATCCATTCTTTTATTAAGCAAAACGATAAATTTCCATCTATCACCAGATTTGGGAGTTGAACAAAGCTTTCTGTAATCAGCTTTTGTGACATGAGAACACAAGATGGATATATAGATAGATAGATGCTGTATGTAATTTGGACAGGTCTCTAAAAAACTTGTATTTTAAAATATTTATTTTATTTACCGCTTTTTCAAAGTATTAAAAAAACGTGTAATTTCACTTTGAATTTGTTCTTATACAAAGAAAAATAACAGTTTTTGTACAAAACCAATAGTCTTCCAGTCCTTGTTACACTGTAATAATACTTGTCATCATACAGAAAGCAAAAGTATTTGTTGAAAGGAAAATCAATAATCTTCGTTAATTGACTTTCTTACAAGGAAAAATAAAAGTATATTCTTCAAATAAAACAACTAAATCATTGTTAGAATGTAAACAATAACCATCAAGTCATCGTCACAATAAAAAACGAGTTTATTACAAAGAAAAACGATAATTTTCGTTGTAAATATATTACTAGTTCTTATCACACGATATACAGCAGTGTTCATTAAAAAGAAAACAATAGTCCTCGTTACCATAGCAGCAATAACATTCGTTAAGAGACTAATACAGTTTCTTATTACAAGAAAAACATAAAAGATATCGTTTTAAGGATACTAACTAAGTGATCTGGTATTAGAGCATCCAATTCGCAAGCTGCGGGTCATGGGATCGAAACACGGCGCTAAATATGCTTGCCATTTCAGCTGTGAGGATTTATGATGTTACGGTCAGATCTATTATTCGTTGGTAATTATTAGTCCAAGCAGAGGATTCGGGGTACGGGCACCGTGTGCCAATGTTTAGCGACATCTCTGAGTCCAAGAGTTGGCGAAGGGTACTGGTGTTTTGAAATTACTCTCCACAAAACTGCCTTATTTGCCAGTGTAAAACAGGCTTACGTTAATAAGCCTTACCACACAAAATTGAAAAATACTTTTAGACTAGAGTTTTCATAAGTAATTGATTTATTTGTAGTTTTCATTAATAAAAATAATACATTTATTTAGACATTGGTTTCACTATTACTATTTTAGCATAACTTGGAAGATTCAAATCTGTAACTAAATTGATACATTTTAGCTTCTCTTAATACTGTAGTTTGACTACGTCACGAGTCTACTACTGGTCTAAATTTTTGTTGGCAGGTTTTCTAAGAAATTTAAATAAACCGGTTGTTTTTCTATTCATTTAAAACAAAATTGTTTAATTCCAGAACCAAAGCGTTATTGTCTTGGATTCAGACATCATGAATGACAATGAAGAAACCGAAACTGAAAAGCATTACAATGATAAAGACATGACCTCAGAAGACGAACAGATGTTAGAAGAAATGGTGATAAAGCTTCGTGACTGGGCAGGTGCCCAGCCACATTTAGTGAACCCAAGACTAGGTGAGATATGGTCTTCTAATTTTAAGATATTACTTCAACAGTTAGAGTACAAATACTCCAAGTAATACGAAATGCTACAGTTTGATGAATATTTTATATCCGTTAGATATATTTATATATTCATTACTAAATTTAAAATGTAGTTTTAACGTATAAATAAGTTTTAATATTGTGAATGGCTGGAAAATACATTTAATAGCAGAGCTTTGTTCACCACTATATTGTTACAGATTACTGGATTAGCTTTCCTGTTTTATATAAGCTCAGTGTTTATATAAACTTTTTGTCAATAGATTGTAGTCAAACATCGAAACTAGTTTTATTACTGTTCTTTAAAGTTTTTTTACAACCGGCTAAATACAAGTCTCCCACTTTGATGCTGTGCTGGATTAATAGCATAATAAGTCATCTAATCTAGTCAAGTTCATTTTCAAATAATTTTCCTCCACATTTTGAATTTATTTTATGCCTCCTTTTCCGCAAAGCTGAGTGTGTAGGCTTTGAACAGTCTGGATAGCATTCTCGGAAAATGGAAACAAATAACATAAGGTGTTTCATTGAATCTAGCAAAGGTTTGGTAAAGAAGTAAAACAATATTCTTTAATTTCACTAGTAGCCTTGTGGTAAATATTTCGAGTTGGCAATTAACAGAATTAAAAACCGCTTATTATTAAAATATTTGGTTGTATGAGATATTTCGTCAAAATTACTTTTAGAGAGATGAAGCTACTGTGATATTTTTTTCGTTTGTAATAACAACACAAACTCGAAATTCGTGAGAACTTAGTAATATTAACAGAAGGAATCAATGCACATTGTAAGGGAATAGTTAAATATAAAGATTTATAGTCACTTTATATAAATACTGAAATAGAAGCATACCCTGAACAGAAAGACCATGATGCCATACATATAAAAAATATAAAAATGGAATTAAAGAGTGATATTGATAAATTGAAAAAAGAAGCTAAATATATATTAAATAAATTTGATACGTTTATATATACTGTATTAGAACTAACTAGAAAATAAAAAATCGTCACCCTAAAGCATTAAAGGTAGATATTTATGTAAACTACAAAATATAGATGGAGTAAGAGTTTATCAAAAAATTGCTAGTGAAATTTTAAAACAAAATTTAAGCAAAATTAGTTGAAATAAGATCTATATTTATATTAAAAATATACATACGAAATGTATACAGAAGTATTTACTAAAGTAACAAATAAATTAAGTCATTATATAAAAAGGTATGAAGCAAACAAATGTAAGAAACCATGGATCGCTAATGAAATAATAGAATTGATAATAGTTAGAGATTTAATTTATAAAACTTTAAAATATTCCTTAAATGTTATGAAGATAATTTTAAAAAATATAATCTTAAAATTAATCAAAAGCTAGCAATAGGGAAAAATGAATATCATAAAAACGAATTTTTAAGCTTGTGAGAGGGAAATAAAAAATGTAGTTTTTAATAGGCTAATTGATGAGGGAAATAAGGAAATAACATCATCTGACCGTGTATATCGTGACAGAGGAAACGAAAATGTAGTAATTAAAATTCACCAAATAAATTTAATAACTGTTTTATAAATGTAAATTTTTTGTTGTTTTTTTTAATTCCGCGCAAAGCTACACGAGGGCTGGTTGCTCTAGCCGTCCCTAATTTAGCAGTGTAAGACTAGAGGGAAGGCAGCTAGTCATCACCATCTACCGCCAGCTCTTGGGCTACTCTTTTACCAACGAATAATAGGATTGACCGTCACATTATAACGCCCCCACGGCTGAAAGGGCGAGCCTGTTTGGTGGGACGGGGATTCGACCCCGCAACTCTCATATTGCGAGTCGAGCACCCTAACCACTTGGTCATGCCAGGCTATAAATGTAGCCGGAAAAATTATAAAATAAATTGATAATGAACCTTGTAAAACATTTAATATAAAGAGAAACAACAGTTTCATGTATTAATTTTCTACATGTAATGAGGAAGTGAAAACTATAATTTTGAGTCAAAATATTATAAAAGTCCAAAATATAATATAACTTCAGTAAGGATAGAACCATTGGTATATATTTATAATTTGTCTGTAACAATAACAAAATTTCTAGAGGCGTTAAAAAGGCTGTAATAATTCCGATATACAAAAAAGATGATAGGAAAATTTCTCTGTTATAAGTCTTTTCTAAAATGTTAGAAAAATGATGCAAATATAATAAAATGTGGTGTTCCACAGGTTTTTGTATTTGCTCTCATTTGTTTTATAATGTACATAAATTATTTATGTGCCCTAATTTAAATTGTAAAATTGCTATGTTTGCTGATGATACAGCAATAAAATTTAGTTTTTCTAATATAGAAGAATTAAAATTTCAAATTAAAAACGACTCACAAACTGTAGGAAATATGTTTTTGGAAATTAATTATCCATTAATATTACAAAAATAAAATATATTTTTTGAATGACAAGTAAAATGATTACGAATAAAAACAGATTTTAAGTTGTATATTCATAATAATCTGTATGTAAATAATGTCCTCCGGTGGAAGAACGGTAAGTTTACGGACTTATAACGCTACAATCTATAGTTCGATTCTCCACAGTGGACACATCAGATAGCTCAATGTAGCTTTGTTCTATAAAGAAAATGCAAATAATAACTGTAATTATAATTATTTGTAAATTGAAAGAATGGCTGCTATAAAATATTTAGGCTTACAACGTGATAAACGCTAAGCTAGAAACATCATGTTAAGGACTTGGCAAAACAATAAGATTTATGTCCATTAAAATTTATTGTTTCAAAAAATTGTTAACCAACTTTCCAGATGTTCAGAATTCTTTATTTATCATTGATTCAGTCGGTAATTTAGTATGAATTTCGATGTGAGGAGGAACTTAACCAACTACTCTAAATCGAATTATTTTGATGTGAGGAGAAACTTAACCAACTACACTAAATCGAATTATTTTGATGTGGGGAGGAACTTAACCAACTACACTAAATCGAGTTATTTTGATGTGAGGAGGAACTTAACCAACTACTCTAAATCGAATTATTTTGATGTGGGGAGGAACTTAACCAAGTACACTAAATCGAATTATTTTGATATGAGGAGGAACTTTACCAACTTCACTAAATCGAATTATTTTAATATGAGGAGGAACTTAACCTACTACTCTAAATCGAATTATTTTGATGTGAGGAGGAACTTAACCAATTACACTAAATCGAATTATTTTGATGTGAGGAGGAACTTAACCAACTACACTAAATCGAATTATTTTGATGTGAGGAGGAACTTAACCAATTACACTAAATCGAATTATTTTGATGTGAGGAGGAACTTAACCAACTACACTAAATCGAGTTATTTCGATGTGGGGAGGAACTTAACCAATTACACTAAATCGAATTATTTTGATATGAGGAGGAACTTAACCAACTACACTATATCGAATTATTTTGATATGAGAAGGAACTTAACCAATTACACTAAATCGAATTATTTCAGTGCAGAATCATTTTATGAAAATATGAATAAAAACTCTGAAACCCGAGCGGTTTCGAAAGGTGGACCTTTCTTCTTCAGGGCAAACTAGGAATAGACTGAAT